GTTTTTACTAAATAGTTTTAGTCGGTAATATTTTGTTGTGTTCGGAATGGATTGAAACTTACCGCTCGGGCGATAGTTAAACTGGATCGAAGTCGGTGTTAATTGGGTAGGAACAGCTATTGGTAAACTATTAGCGTTAAAAGTAGATCCAATTACGATTCGAACTTATTCGCTTTACGCGTGACGACGTGAAGGCGAGAGGAAGAGAGAAGTGATGAAGGATTTGAGGATGAGATAATTAGGATGCGGTGCTAATGAAGAAACGGCTCTCCGTAATTGAATCAAAAAAAAAGAAAGAAAGAAAGAAAAGAACCGAATGAATCCTATACTCAGTCGCTCCGCGCGCCTCCGGCTAATTAAAGAGAACAAATGAAAACAAATAAAACGGAAGACGAAGATGGAAAGAAGCATACGCATTCACACTCGTTTTGACAATTACGAAGAGTCGAAGGCCAAAGAGTTAAGGACTGAGGATACAAAGTGCGAGATTTATGCGAGCGCGTTTACATTTTTCTCTTGACCGAGTCAAAGATGTTGATTATGATGATGAAGCTGTGAGGAATACGAAACGAAAAGGATTCTAACATTCCACAATTTTTCGGATAAGCGATCTCAAAAGGGGTGCACATTAGAAGCAGGAAGTGGTTGAAGATAAGGACCGAAAAGATTTAAAAAAAAATATCAACTTTCGCGCTTAGACCAAAAAAACAAACTCTTTAGACTTCTGGTCGATGCGAGAGGTGAAGGAGGAGGAGGAGGCGCAGCGTTCCAAAAGCGCAGAACTGGTTTTACTTTCTACGACTCTGCGACAATCGCAGTGGGCTAAAATAATAATGAAAGAAGAAGAAGAAGAAAAACAAAAGAAGAAAGAACCCACAACATCGCGCCGCATGCAAATCTCAACCAATCTTTCTCGCTCTAACTTACACAAAAAAAAAAACGAAACTTGCATGTATATATACATAACAGTTTGAACGAATTCTTCACTCTTTGTTCTCCGTGAAAACTTACGGAGGAGAGTGCGTGGTGTTTATTTTTTTTGTTGTTGTTGTTGTTGCTATAGTTTCATTTAATTATAATGTACATTGTTTTGTTGTTGTTTTTGTTTATTTGTTTTTCGGGTACGACAATAAAACAATCGAGATGCGTTAATTGTTTTTTTCGCTTGTTCGTTTGTTTTTTAATATATGTATATTGTGCTAATATCACAGTACTGAAACAAAACAGACACAAATTAAATTATAGAAAAAAATATATATATATCTAGTAATTAATTAATTAATTAATATTAAAACACAAAATAAATCAATAAATTAAGAATAATAATTATGATCAAGTAGCTTAGGCAAAACTAAAAAATTCCTCATTCAATTATTTCTTATTTCTTTTGTTTCTTGCAATCGTCTCGTCCGTTTACTTAACACAAGAAGCACTCTGTCCTATTTAATTATTTTTTTTTTAATTTTATTTATAATTTAAGTTAAGTAGATAATTTTTTTTTTTTGCATTTTACCATCTAGCTGTCTAAACAAGATTTATGTTTCTAATATATTTATATATACACATAGGGAGAGAATCTTACAGAGCAATCATATAAATAATATATTGTGTAATAATAATAATATTAATAATAAAAAATAAAAAGAGTCGTATATTACTACTAAAAAAATGAAAGAGTCCTATCGCGGAATAATAAATAATTACATCTAAGAGTTAATTAATTAGAAGACGGGGAAATAAAATTTTAAAAAAACAAGTTTTACAAGAGTAAAAGGGGGGCTTTTGTTGCTTGCGAACGACGCCTTCGTCGATTTCCCAAATCTGATAATCCGGTCGTCGTTTCTCATCATCGTCATCATCATCAACTTTTCTTCATCGTCATCCAAATCTTCATTTACCTCTCCTCTCGGATACGACAAGGCGAGGATGTTAACGTAGATCTGCAACTCAGATCAGAACGTCGCGTAGATGTTGCCGAACGCTTTCACGGTGTAGTCGAGGGCGGACATGTAATCTCTGTAGATGAGCCAATCGCGCAGGTTGCGCTCGGTGGCGTCGGTGATGCTGCGGAAATCCGGACCCATCAAATCCCTGGTGATGTCCGGCTTCTGCGACAGACCCAGCTCGATGATGGCCATCTGGATTTCGCAGAGCAACGATCGTAGATTGTATTCGGTGTCGGTGAAGTTCTTCAGGAAGGCACCGCGGTTGTCCTCCTGGTCCCACACGATCTGCTCCAATCCGACGGCGAACTTCTGCAGATGCTCGTAGATGTCGATCAAACTGTTCTTCATCTACAACAAACACAAAGGAAATTCAACAATTAGTACACTCTACAGTCATCACTTTCTACAATGCATTTTCACTTTTTAACATCTAATTGATGTGGATGATTCAACATCCAAACATTGTTCATTTTATTATCAAATTTAAACTTTTTTAATTTAACATTTGCTCAGATTTCTCAATTATTTCTTGTCTTGTACACCAAACAAACAGAACATAAAGTTGTAGAAATAAGAAGGAAACACAGAGTTCATTGTGATCATGAATAAACCTACGGACACGAAAGTGATTTATTTCGGACCGTGTAAGCATAAGAGAAAGTTTAGACGTTGACGATTTTACTACAGATTTATCTTGTATTCCAATCATCAAATTGTATTACTTTAAATGAATCAAAACTATCATTTTTATATAAAATAACTATTCAAATTAATCCGTTTTTTTTAATATTATTAGGTAAAAATCTTCCAAGACTTATGTATATTAATATCTTAAAAACTAAAGATTGATTAAGTGTATATGTATTTGTAAGTGAATGCATGTAAATTATAATCTTAATGTAAGTAAATTAATTCGTTTATTAACTTACATTAAGTTCAGGAATTTGCTCTGAATCCATCATCGTGAGTGGAAGCCAATCGTAATGGTTAGCCTGCCACTGAGTATGCAAACTTTCCGGATCCGAATTGAACGTTTTCAGGGCCTGAAATTAAACAAAACAAATATTTTAAATTACATAAGAAAATAAGAAATTTCAATAAATTAAAAATCAATATAATGAAGAATTACGAAATGTTAACAAATCTTGAAATAATAATAATGATACAGGAAATGATTAGAAGAGGAATTGATTTAATTGGGAACTCGATTGATTTTTCTTTAATTATCCTTGTTATATTAGATAATTAAAGGTCAATAAGATTGTAGGAAAAGAATAAATAAGTGGAATAGAGTTTTGGTAGTGCGCAGAAGTGTAGTAGCTGTGTATCCCACGGGAATGAAGAGCGAATGACTTCCGCGAAGTGCGACGATTAGCGCGAAAACCGCAAATTGGACCTCCGAAAAGCGGAATACGCGTTTAGAGTATGAGATGAGAGAGATGTGATGATGGGATGATGGGATTGCGTTCGAGAACGGTGCACCTGAAACGCAACACCCGTATGGAGTTGCACGGCACGGCCACCTGATTATTTGCTGATCGGGATGTAACATCAGATGTTGCTGTTGGAGATGGTGATGTGAATGATGATGATGATATTGATGATGATGAGGAGAAGGAGGAGAGCGAGAGAAGAAGAGAAGGTGGCGGCGGCCGGACGCGACCTTGTTTCTTTCCAAAGCAGACTGCCTGACGCCTTTCGTTTAGTGCGCTGCTGCTAGTATGTAGTGTGTGTATGTATATGCATGCATACAGGATGGATGGATGTCAAGGAAGTGTGCGTAGGTTGCGTGTGCCTCTGCTCCTTGCAGCAGCAGCAACATATGCTTCTGATGATGATGATGATGGAGGTGGTGGTGTTGGTGATGTTAGGTTGCAGCAGAGGTACGAGGGCGTCGCGACGTCGCTCCACCGCCTCTTCCTCCTTCCTCCAATACTGCTGCTACTACCATCGGGCCGTCGTCCGTCCGTTTCCTCTCGCGCGCGCACATGCTTATTAATTACAATGAAACAATAACTTGGCTATTAAAAGACGGCGGAAAATCCATGAGCGGACACGATTTTACCGGATATGATAAAGACGCAAGTTATTTATATCCGATAGAAGAGTACGGGCCGACCAGGACCTCCGGTTAATAGATAGAGAAGAAAAATATGATAGTGTGTAATCAGACATCAGCGGACGGCATAATACAGCACCGAGCGCGCATACTAATCGTCGTAGTACTATAGTCTCCGTCTCCGTGCGAGCGTTAATGAGCCTCCCGTACATACAAACAACGTCGAAAAAGTAAATATATATTTAAAGAAATTTCTATTCATCCATGAATGAATGCAGCCTGGCTGCATTCAACAGAAGAAGCAAGCGACACTTTTCACTCTACTCGATGCCATCAATACAAAAGACACACACACCACCTCCTTTCCTTCCTCTCTCAACAAGGCAACAAAGGTGAGCTCATTGGAATTGCACCACAACTAGAGCACTGAACTCACAATAATTTGACAAAATATTTACCCACAAAATTAATTTAAAAACAAATATAGAAACTAGTTGAAATAAAAGTGCATTATTTTATAACCGCTTAAAGACGTTAAGTCTTCATTATTAAAAGATTGCTTTAAATTATTTTTTTTGTATGAATTTAGAAATAAATATTTATTTTTTTTAAAACAACTTCCTTCGTTATAATAACTAATAGATTTAGAAACATATTTTTATATCAAAATATTTCAAGATTTTCGTTCGTAATTGGAACATGAATTATCTTCATGTTAATAACTGCTTCAAGACGTTAAGTCTTCATTATTAAAAGATTGTTTTAAATTATTTTTTTGTATGAATTTAGAAATAAATATTTAATGAATTTTTTTTAAAACAACTTCCTTCGTTATAATAACTAATAGATTTAGAAACATATTTTTATATCAAAATATTTCAAGATTTTCGTTCGTAATTGGAACATGAATTATCTTCATGTTAATAACTGCTTCAAGACGTCAAGTCTTCATTATTAAAAGATTGCTTTAAATTATTTTTTTTGTATGAATTTAGAAATATATATTTAATGATTTTTTTTTAAAAACAACTTCCTTCATTATAATAACCAATAGATTTAGAAACATATTTTTATATCAAAATATTTCAAGATTTTCGTTCGTAATTGGAACATGAATTATCTTCATGTTATTAACTGCTTCAAGACGTTAAGTCTTCATTATTAAAAGATTGCTTTCAATTATTTTTTTTGTATGAATTTAGAAATAAATATTTAATGAATTTTTTTTTAAAACAACTTCCTTCGTTATAATAACCAATAGATTTAGAAACATATTTTTATATCAAAATATTTCAAGATTTTCGTTCGTAATTGGAACATGAATTATCTTCATGTTAAGATTGATTTAATTAATATAAAAAAATAATAATAGATAGGGACTCACGAATTCATTCTGAAACTGCTTCGCGTTCGTGAGGGCGATGTTAGCTTGAGCGATGATCTGCGTTAACAAGTCTTTCTCCGAGACTTGAGGCACCTCAGTGTAGGTGTCCTGCTCATCCTGATCCCGGCGTATTCCGCAAGGGTTGATCCACTTGGGTTTCGAACTCAGACGTTCCTCTTCCATCGCTGCAGCTCGATTCGTAGGCGCCGACTGAGATCCCGGAATGCTCACGATGCTCAGGAGGTATGTCCCCACAACAAGGACCTGTTTTAATCCTACAACAAACAACAAAAAAAACAAAATATAAATAAACAAACAAAATAAATATTACTTTTTCACTCGAAATAAATACATAAAACTATCAACTTTATTACACATTATTTTGTCAATTAAGAAACTTAATCTACAAAAAGAGTACATGTAGAAACGAATTGCATAATCCTTTTTTTTTCGATTCTCTTGCATGTACAAATTGGACTGAAAGTGTCATCAAGAGGTGACTTTAATTATTCCCGTCTTCTCTCCTGTCTTCTGTTCTTCCTTTCTTCGTTTTCTTTCTGTGTTCTTCTTTTTTAGCGTTGCGCGGCTTTTGTACAAATATTGTAATAATAATCATCGTCGTACACGTTTTTCTGTATATGTGTGTGTGTGTGTGTGAGTGTGTGTGGACACAAGCAGGAAAGGGCGCCAGAGCGTGAGAATGTGCGCGCTCTCGGGAAAAACGGGCTTTACGGCTTCTGACCTCGCCGGAGGAAAGAGAACTTATTTTTCGACAAGATCCCCGACAAAACTTTAAAGCGGACGACGACAAAACACACACACATGACAAAAAAAAATTAAAGAAATAAGCGCTATTACGAAACACCTCGTCCGACCGCAACTTTGTTGCACATCTCTTTTACTTTATTTTTATCCCCCAAAACCCAAAGAACTTATTCAACTTATGCAAATTACCACTATTATCTTCAGGAAATTCTTATGTTTTTTTTTTGTTTCAATTTAAATTATTTATTAATTCACATTTTTAAATAAAACTTAATTTGAATCAATTTGTAAACAAAAATATTAATAATAAAAATATGAAACTTCAAATGAAATAATTGAATTTGATTTTCGAAAATTAACAAATTATCAAACGTGCCTTGACAATTACATAATTACGAAAAACAAAAACAAAACAATGAACAAATACAAGCGCATTTAATACAGTCGTGTTTTCGTCTCTCACTATTTATAGATTATTATGCATTAATCACATAATATAATTGAACGCTGCAAAACGCGATTCGCACCTAGCAAATCCATCGATGATTCTCAATTTAAATTATGATGTTGTAAAGACTTTTTTTGTTTGATACATTAATCATAATTACTTCACAATTTATTTTAAGAAATTAAATTCCAATTTTCACCAATATTTATAGATTATTACCATATTGGATTTAATAAACATGTTTCAAGACAATTTTAATCACAATAATTATATGAATTATACTTTTTGATCATTGAATTTCAGTAAAATACTGAAAGTAGTGATATTTTTCATGAATTATTTTGTATGTCCATAACTTTATTGCTGTAGTTAAATGTGAATTAATTAAGAATTGGTTTGAAAGACGGAGCAGATCTAAAAGAGGTTCTGTGAGTGCGTGTGTGTTTGTGTGTGTGGAAACGATTGCGGTATTGAACAAAATAAAAGACGACGAAGAGAAGGCGATCAGAAGAAAGCAACAAGAAGAGAAGAATGAGAATGAGAAGAAGTACAAAAAAAAATATATATATATGAGGAGCAGGAGAGACGACGAAAGACGGACGGACGGACGAACGGATCGACGAGATGCGAAGACGAGGAGGAGGGAAAGAGAAAGAGACGTTGTCCAGCAGGTGGCAACTAACTTGATCTATTTATTGCTAAATACTTACAATGAACTAAGAGATTCGTTTACCGACATAATAGCCAATAATTACCAGTTATTCTTCCTTAATGTCCCATTCCATACTATTTACGACATTTTTGCAAAATAATTGCATAAGAAAAGAGAAGCAGAAGAAGCGAAGAGAGAGAGAGAGAGGAGTATAGCAACAAAAAAAAACAGACGCACAGAAGGAAAATAATAAAAAAGAGGAGGAAAATAACAATAACAACGGTGAGAGAGCACAGGTGCGTATCGGGAGAGTGGCCACCCCCGTTCGGGTCGAGCCCAAAGTGGGTAACACACGGTCCGGCCACCCCCGCATTCCGAAATCGTGTACTATACTTGATCGATTTTTCCGCGAGGCGAATTTTCCGATGGATCACACACACACACACACATAGAAGGTGAAGCGTGATTCACGAAAATTCTAGTTAGAAAGGACTAATTAACGGTGCGTGCAAAGGAGAGAGAGAAAGAGGAATTTTAAGAGAGCACGTGCAAATTTCAATGGGTCAGACACGGGCGGACGGGCAGGATTGGCCGCCGCCACCTGTTGATCCCCGCCTAACTCGCGCTCCGCGAAAAACGCGAGCGGATTTGAATCGCACTCGTTATTTTCTGTGCTGTGTGCAGAGGTAGGTAGGTGTGTGTGTGTGTGTTATGCATGTGTTTCGGTATGTTTGCGTGTGGTGGTGATTGTGGTTGCGACACACACAAACACACACGCGTACAGTTGGGAGAACCCGGGGGAGGTATATGTTCGCATGTGTTCGACTTACTCTGCATTGTCCTCCAAACGAAACTTTTCCGGTTCCGGTGGAGGAGGCGTCGCACCTCGGTCCTGGTGACGGCATCGCCGGTGCTTGCAGTCGTCGTCTCCGACTCCTCGTACTCCGTTTCCGGCTTGATGAAGATCTTCGCCGTCCGCTGATCGCGATCCAGCATACCGACGAGGTGTCCAGTAGGAGTATATGAAGTCATCATCATCTTCTTTTCGTACATCTATCCTGTACGTATCTCTCTTTCTATCTCTTAACAATCGAATCTGACTGTAGCAAAATCTGTTCTCTGAAGTGATCTGGTTAATCGATGGGTCTCCTCGATCAATCGGAGGACTTCGGTCGCGTCCACTTCTTGTACAATTTACAATACCGCACTTACCGGCACACTTTGCACACCCTTGATTTATGGGTCACTCACTCGAATAATAAATAAACGACCATCCAAGTGATTATGCAGAAGATGTTTTGGTGAATGGGTAAATTGGCAGAAATTCACCCACAAATTTTTATTTTTTTTTGGTTTCAATTAATCCAATTGAAATTTCTATTTGATTCTCAATTGGTGTTAAGATTTAGTTTGACCAATAATGTTGTTTGTTGTATTTATATATATATGTATGTAGTGTGTATGATGACTCTGTCTCTCCTCTCTCTGTTCGTAGTCAACGAACGAACATGTATACACACACAACACACGCTATAACACGTTGTTTCTCGTCGTCGAAACGTCAACTGAGGAACTATATCTGTGACGTTAATATTGTACAGGGCAAAACTGTAGGTGGAACCAACTACAAGACACCTCCTCCTCCTCCATTCATAAACGTATTAGACTGCTCTCTGCCAGTAGCCCACAAGCGATCTATTGCGTAGGGAGGTGGGAGATTTTGTTGTAATCCACTCGATAATCCGCTCCGATTTCCGGGTACACCGGTGGGGCTCCTTCGGCCTCTTTCACCCGGGTCCTTCCTTGGCTCTTCCCAGAATCCAGGATTCCCACCTTCTCCTCCTCCTCCTTCACCACCTCCTTCACAACATCCATCTCCTCCTCCTCCTGCTTGGATGACGCACTCTCTTTCTCGCTCACTCTCTTCTCCTTTTTTTCCCTCACCTTTGTCATCACCGATCTCACCTTTGCTTCATTATTTTTGCGCTCCTCTCCTTCGCATCGGTTATATAAGACGACCCGATGCGATTCCCGCAATTTCACTCATTATTTTTCTGTCCCCTCGAGGCAGACACCAAAAAAAAATCAACTAATATCTACACAATTTCCCCAATTGATTTATACAATCACAATCCATTTACAATAGCCAGAGTCATAGCAAAATCGAATTTCCACTTTTATTAATAAAACATAACAGTTTTATTAATTTTATTCAAAAATTATATCAAATATTAAAATTGTCATATTTTATAAATTTGTATATTATTACATTTGAAGCAAAATTTCATAAACTGAATTTCCAAATTTATGTTTCACACTTTTACAAAATTTAATAAATTACAAAAGATTTTTCAACTATTAAATTCACATAGATTCAAAATATTGTATAAACTTAATAAAAATTTAGTTGTTTTTCAGACTTTTATATCAAATTTTAAATTGTCATTACCATCTTTATATTTTATAAATTTTTATATTATCACATTTAAACAAAATTTCATAAAGTGATTTTTCACAATTTTCAATGTAAACTAATTTGTTTCACACTTTTACAAATTTAATAAACTACAAAACATTATTCAACTAATAAAATGCACATACATTCAAAATATTGTACAGACTTAGAAAAAAGTACAGACTTTTTGTAATTTGAAAATATTTTAATTTTAAATTTTACTTTTATGATTTTATCACCGATTTATACAATCCATTTACAATAGTCGAATTTCCACTATTATTAATTAAACTTAACAGTTTTATTAATTTTATTAAAAAATTATATCAAATATTAAAATTTTCATATTTTATAAATTTGTATATTATTACATTTACATTTGAAGCTAAATTTCATAAACTGAATTTCCAAAATTTATGTTTCACACTTTTATAAAATTTAATAAATTACAAAACATTTTTCAACTACTAAATTCACATAGAGTGTATAAATAAGAATTTAGTTGTTTTTCAGATTTTTATATCAAATTTTAAATTCTCATTAGCATCTTTATATTTTATAAATTTTTAAATAATTTGGATTTATTGAGTTTTATTATTTTCGTTTTAAATTAAAATTTTATGAGTTTGGTTTAAATTCGTTCATTGTTTGATGTTGTTTTACGATCAATTGTTTTAATTGACTCGTGGATCAATGTGATCTATTGATTCGTTCAATCAATTTCTAAATACATTAATTGAAAAAACTTATTTTTATATAAAGTAAATTATTAATTAAATGAATGTATACATTTGATAATTAAGTGTAAGAAAATCATGAGAATGTAAAGTTTATTATTATTTAGTACAAAAATGATTTTTTTATGCAATAATGCAAAATTAATTGTATGTTGTTAAAAGAAAAAGAGACATATTGTAATTGTAAGATTTACAACTTGTTAAAGATATTAATTTTA